ATCCTGAAGAGAAAAGAGAAACAGGAAAAAAATACAAGGTGTTGTGAAAAGAGCACTGGACAAGGACCAAAGGAAGTTGTTTCTAGTTCCAGATCTTCCACTTACTGTGTGATCTTGGGCACATCACTCCACGTTCCCAAATCTGTTTCATTCTTGTCAAGACAGGGATGATAACACTAGCTCTGCCTGTCTCGGAGACACAGAAAGCCTAACCTGCAATACAGAGAGCAACTGGGAAGCTCTATCCCAATGTGAGATGAAATTCGGAAGGCGAAATTGTCTTGGAATGCCTGGGAGTGACGGCCCTTAGAGGGTCTGCAACCTTCTCATTTCACAGCGATGGATGTGAGGCGCCAAGAGGAGAAACCACACAGCGGGTTGAGGGCACAGGTGGGCACAGTGCTCCGTTAGTTTTAGAGTAGAACCCACTTTGGGGTCCCCCTAGGGTGTGCAAATAAAACTAACCAAAGGAAGAGCATAAGGACCGAGCTGGACTGCCCAGGGAAAGCTGCAAAGGTGTGTGTTTCATCACATTCACTCAAAAGGGACAGGCCCCAGTGATTAGTCCTGAGGTCTCAGGAACAAGGAAACACTTAGCGGACTTTGAAAGCAGTAGTCGTATTTCGAGAGAAAGGAAGCCCCACTCTGCACAATACACAGCATGCCCAGGGAAGCACAGAAAACCAGAGGTGAAGGGGACATCTTGCTCTATTTCCCCTGACAGAGGGGAGGAACCTGAGTCCCAGAGAAGGGAAACGGCTTGCCTGAGGCCACGCAGTCTGCTCCTGGCAGAGCTGGGACTGTAATGGGGTTTCTCAACTTCTAGTCCACGGCGTGTACTCCACGTACCAGGTGGGACTGCATGTGGCTGCAAATAACGAAGAATAACACTGGCTTACACCGATGGAGATGTGCTGCTCAATGATGGCTTTAGGAGATAGGGGTTACTTTTCTCACTTTACAGGGGGTCCAGAGGTGAGCAGTGAAAGATTAGTGTAGCTGCTGAAGGATGTTAAGGACCTAGTCTCCCCATCGGCTCACTGCTTTTGTCTTAGGACGGTTGCTTCATGCACCTGTCAGCCTTGTGTCCATATTCCGGGCGGGGGAAAAAGTACAACTGAGTTTGTCTTTTTATAAAGCCTTACCTGAAAGGCCCAACCAGTGAGGCACATAGCCATCCCAACTGCAAAACAGTCTGGGTAGGTGGGTGGTTTAAGTGTCCAGTCATTAAAGTAGGAGGTAGCAGGGGGCTTAAAAAAAAAAGATTTTATCATTTATTTTTAGAAAGAGGGGAAAGGAAAGAGAAAGAGAGGGAGAGCAACAGCAATCAGTTGCCTCTCTCATGCCCCCAACTGGGGACTTGGCCCACAACCCACACATGTGCCCTGATTGGGAATTGAACCAGCAATCTTTCGCTCCACAGGGTGGCACTCAATCCACTGAGCCACACCAGCCAGGGCAGCAGGGGGCTTTTGAGCTCTTAGTCTGTGTTTGCCACACTGCTATGCTTCACCATTTTAAAGATGAAAGAAGGGCCCTGGCTGGTGTAGCTCAGTGGATTGAGTGCGGGAGTGCGGGACTGCCAACCAAAGCATTGCCGGTTCGATTCCCAGTCAGGGCACATGCCTGGGTTGCAGGCCAGGTCCCCAGAATGGAGTGCAACCACACATTGATGTTTCTCTCCCTCTCTTTCTCCTTCCTTTATCCTCTATAAATAAATAAATAAATAAGCTATTAAAAAAATAAAGATGAAAGAAGGGGTGGGTTTGGCAGGCAGCCACTTCAGAGTCAGAAATTGGGTTCAAGTCTGGTTTCTGCCACTTTTTTATGGCTCCTTGACATGTCTCAATGACCTCACCTGAGAAAGGTTTGGGCCAAATGACCCCAAAAGGGGTCGTGACCCTATCCTATTCAAATTCTAATCGATGTAATTACATTTCTTGCTCCCCATGGAATTCGCACATAAACATCATAAATTATGATAACAAGTAGTATGTAAAAATGTGTATTTTCATCCAGGGATTTCTATCTTGAAAGCATCAGGACAATCCCTCTATTTTCTTCTAAAAGTTGTAGTTTTATGTTTTTCTATGGGAATCTTATATGCTACTTATTCCTTAAGTACCATATGGATTTTACTGCTTCACTGCAGTGAATGGGATCTTTTTTGTATCACATTTTGTAATTGACTATTGGTGTATAGGAATGCTATTCCTTTTTGCATGCTAACTTTGTATCTAGTAATCTTGCTGAGCTTTTATTAATTCTAGTAGTGTGGAGACCTTCCCAAGTTTTTTTATGCAGAAAATCCTATTACCTACCTATTCAGGTAGGCAGAGGAAACAGCATGAGGAAGGACCCGAGAGGGAAAAGTTCTGGAAACAGAGACGCAGATGGTGCTGGGCATAGGGAGGAATAAGGAAGATGATGAGGTGAGAGAGGGAGACAGCATTAGCAGACAGGGTCTTAAAAGCCATTTCCAGGATTTTAATTCAATGGAAAAACTATGGAAGAGATTTACATTAAAACAGGAGGAAAGTCTCTTACGGTGAGCCATTAGGCTTTGCTCACGTCTGGGTCTTGTCTAACATTTCGGTCAAAATTTGGATGAATAAATATAAGTCATGCTTTTCAAGCAGAAAAATATATTGGATAACTCTAAAATGTTGTTTTGTGAACTTGTAGAGCTGCAAGAACATATGCTTAAACATGGGACTAGGTGTTTGTTAAGATCCTTTCCAACTTTGAGATGCTGGGGATCTATGCGGTTCATCCTGGGTACCACCCTGGAGCTGCAGGGAAGGTTCTTTCCCACTTGAGGTGGAAAAACAATGAACCTGTATATCAAGAAATCATCTATAAGGGCAGATCCACATTTACACAAATAATTAGCACGTGTGTGGTAGGTGCTGTCATAGAGGCATGTAAGAGGTGCAGGGGGATGTGATGGATTGAAGGGTGGCACAGAAGTTGTGAAACTGGGACCGAAGCAGGGTGGAGAGAGGCTGGGAGGCAGCTGTGACAGTATAAGGAAAAAGGGACCAAACTGGAGCAGCACCAGGGGTGATGGAGACACCTCTGAGGCAGCAGCAGCATCTGGTAGGCCTGAGTGGGGAGAAGGAAGGAGAAAATTGAGATTGACTCCTGGGTGTCTAGTTTGGGATACATGTAACATGGTGATTCTATTACCTTAAAGAAGGAACGCTGGATTCCAATACTTTTGGTTTTTCCTAGCCATCTGACTTGTAAGGAGCTCAAAGCCAGTGAACTCCATTCATGAAGCCAGGGACAGGCCTTGGGGCTGGCTACTTCAAACAGCCGAAAGGGTTACTATAGTCCTGGTCACTCAGTGGATTGACTGTCAGTCCAAGAATCCAAAGGTCACTGGTTCAATTCCCAGTCAGAACACCTGCCTGGGTTGCGGGCCAGGTCCCCAGTTGGGGGCATGTCAGAGGCAACCATGCATTGCTATTTCTCTCCCTCCCATCTAAAAATAAATAAATAAAATCTTTAAAAATAAAAAGATCAATGTAACTTTTTAGGTTCCACCTGTGTGTTCTCCTAAAACTTAAGTTCATGCGTAGACAAAACCTGTGGATTTTGGTGTGAAGTAATGCTGATTTCACCAGGACAGTAAACCTTTTATTCATCTTTGTATAGTGTCCCTGAATGGCCCTTCTTGATGTGCAGATACTCAATCAGCATCTGTTGGATGAATGAATTCAGGCTTGCAATGGGACTCCCCTACTATGGAGCCTGGGTAAGTGTGAGTTTGGGCCTAAGGCACTTGGCTTCTTAATGTCAGGTCTCTGTGATTGGCCCAAAGTCCTTTTCAGGACTCCAAGTTCATAGTTCCATACCTTTTCCCCTTACGCTTTTGCTCTTCATCCCCTCATATTTGTATATGCTGTCAATACTTCTTTATAATATTAATAGTACTGTATAAGTGCTTGCTAAGTGATAGGCACCAGTCTAAGTACCTCACATACATTAACACACTTGATCCACATAAAAACTGTCACGAGGTAGGTACCAACCATTATTACTCATTTAGTTGCAGAATAGGTACAGAGAGATTAAGTATCTTCTGCAAGTTCATATAACTTCTAAGTATTAGCATGCAGATTTGCACACAGGGAGTATGGGTCTGAAGTCCAGGTTTGTCAACCTTGGTGTACTACCTCTAGGTCACCCTAACAGTGACTGTGACAGGGGCTGGTGACTGAAGTAGCTCATTTTTACAAATAAGGCAGTTGAAGCTTAACTTCCCCAAGCTTACACAACTGAAATAGAAAGTAGCAGAGCCAGACCTCCAACCAGGGCTTTCAACCAAGGCCAGTGTTAACCAGCCTTCTCCAGTAGTAGAGTGTGTGGCCCTGGTACCTGGCTGCGAGTTAAAAGCCTCACTGTGTCGATTACTGGCTTGCTGACATTAGGTAGGTTACCAAACTTGTATGTTTGTTTCCCCACCTGTAAAATGAAAAGAGAACATTAATACCAACCATACAGGATTGTTGTGACGAGTAAATGAATTACTGTCACATACGAAAGGGCCTGGAACATCGTAAGCACTCAATAGCCGTAAGCTCGCACTTTCCATTCTGGACCAGCGCTATCCAGCAGAAATATAATGTAAACCAGATAGTAACTTTAAGTTTTTTAGTGACCATATTTAAAAAAACAAACACTTACATTATTTTATATATGCTTTATTTAGCCAACTATATCCAACACTATGATCAGTTATCTGATTTATAATCAATATACAAATTGTGAATGGGGTAATTTATATATTTTTGGTATTAAGCCTCGCAGACATGGTATTTATTCTACAGCGACGGCACGTATCACCTCGGGCCAGCCTCGTCACTTGTGGCGTGGGGCAGGGCTGCTCCGGAAAGGCCCCCAGCTGGCCCGCGGCGTAGACCCCACCCCGCGCCCCGCCCAGGTTACATCACAGAGCCCTTAGGCCCTGCCGGAGCCGGTACCCGGCCCGGCCCCGGCCGCGTGCGCCCGGCCGCCCGCCTCCTCTCCGCTCCAAGCACCTAAGTTCTTAGAGGGGCCGACGGTGTCACACTACAGCTGGGCGGCGGACCAGCCCGCCAACCTCAGCATTAACCCGTGGGGAAAAGAAGCCTGAGTCCGACGGGCGTACATCACCAACAACGGCCCTCGGCTCGCGCCGCTTACTTCGGCAAGGTCGGGGCGGCGGGGCCGGCGCCTATTGGTCCCCCGCAGCTTTCCGCCCGCCCCCTCGACGCTCTTATTGGCCGGAGCCGCGGCGCCAGCAGGATAGGCGGTGGCGGCGGCGGCGCTCCTCCTACGCACCGGCCCTCCTGAGGGCAACGAGGAAGCGGCCGCCTCCCTGTGCCCCGCCCCTCGGGTTCACTCTCTGGCTCCTTGGTCTTCCCGGCTCCTCCCGGCCCTCTCCAGGTTTCCTCCAGCTCCGGCTCCTGCGCTGTGGCGGCGGGTAGGTGCAGTGGCAGGCGGAGCCCGATTGGAGGGGCGGCCTCTCCACTGCCCCGAGGGCTGCTCGAGCCTGGCCTGGCAGTGGTCCGGGACTCCGCAGGGCCCGCTTGAAGCGGGGAAGGGCGGTGGCCGCCGGCCTGCTGGACGCGGGTATGGCCCGGCGAAGGGCCTGCGGGCGTGATCTTCCGAGCTTTCTAGGCGCGATGTGGGGGCCCGTGGGGCGGGGCAGGCTGAGAGGTCCGTTTTCGGGGGTCTAGAGCGGTGGGGCCAATGGCACGTCTCACACTCGGGATGGAGCTGAGCCCGGGGAGCGAGGGTCGGCTGCCATTCGGGGCCCTGGGTGGGGCTCGGGGACATCGAGGAACGCAAAGGTCGTTCTGTGAGGATTTTGGGGGTCAGCTGAGGCGAGCCTTGGAAAGGGTGAATAGTCAGGTTTTATGGGAGGTTTGGAGGGGTGGTCTGGAGAACTGGGCCCCGGCCGGAGCTGTCTCTCCTGGCGTGTGTCGGGCCCTGGCACTGATTGGGGGACTAAGCAAGTGTCTGGCCGAGCGAGTACGAAGAGGACGGAGAAAGGTTGGGATGGGACGTTGGAGACAGGGACGGGGAGGGCAGTTGGAAACGTTACCCTGAACCGAGACTGCAATGTAGCGGCACATGGACTAGCTTCTCCGCGGGTGTGTTGCCCGAGTACTTTATTGAAATTACCCCGTGCGAGAATGTTGGGGTTTTGCTTGCATCCAGGAACGTGCAAATTAAGTGCATTTGGGAGGAGGCAGTGAGTGATTACGCTAAGATTTGTGTTTTAGGAGCCAGACCCAGGGTGAAACGTGCTTCTCGGGAAGACTAGTGTTACCCAGCTTTCTCCTGGAAACCCCCTTTTCTCCTTTCCCTCTCTGGTTCAGTTACAGCCTTGCTCCCCAGGGCCTCTCGATTCCCTCTCCCTGGCTGCATAGCATTGCAGTCTTTCTTGGTGTGTGTGTGTGTGTGTGTGTGTGTGTGTCTCCCGCCCATTTCCCTGCTGCTGTGCTTTTGGCAACTGCCTCTGCTCTTTCCCAGGGATGGTTGTGGCATTGCATCAGGGGATATTTGTGCTTGTAATTTGCTCACTCAGCCCAGGAAGAGGGAGAATAGCATGCTGCCGAGATGGGAGGGGGGTGCCGTCTGCTGGGCTGGGGCGGCAGAGAAAAGGGTGTGGTGAGGGAATACAGCTGCTCTAGGCCTATAGGGTAACACTGCCCAGTCATCAGCTGAAAGAGATTGAAAGAGCAGCCGCGGCAGCAGCTATTTTTATAAATGAGCCCTGAATCCAAGCTGAGAGCACATGGATTTAGGGTGAACAGTTGTCATGCTCTCACTGTTACAGGCAGGGTGTTTGGTAGACAACATTAAGAGTTGCTAAGCAGGAGACTCCATTTGTACTGTACAGCAGGTACTTGCAACTTTTTAACTTTGCTCTTTTCAGCTTTGTAGGGTGTCTTTTACGCTGACATTCTTGGATAGTCCATACTCCTTTTCAGTTGAAATGTTATGCTCTTCAAGTTAGCTTAAAAATGATAAAGCTGACTCTTTTGAGCATTTACCATCATCCAGGCACCAGTTATCTGTCTTTACTTACAGATGAGGAAATTGAGACTGGCAGGAATAAGAGGTCACATATATTTAAATGGCAGAAGTGGCAGCCACACCAAGGTCTCTCTTACTCCCTACACAGTAGTTTAGAAACGTGAAATTTTTGGTTTACACAGGAGTGATTCAAGCGCTTGAGGATTTATTCATGCAAAGTAATCGCTGGAGACTGATAAACCAGATACCAATTTTATTTATGATGAAAGTATTAAGTGCCATGTATGCAACTGGAGTTAATTATCTACTGGCCAGGACACCTCCTTTGTTTTGGGGTAGCCTAATCAGTAATGAGAAGGCAGTTGATTATAGAATTGGAATGAAAGGCACTGGATGTTCTTAGGGGCTATTTTAATCAAGTTACAAAAGCCTGGTGGGTCTCCTTTCATTGTATGAACCTATAACAGTGTTTCATAGCTGGTGAGCTTTTCACACACTCCCTTTTCTGTCTCTGTTGTGTTTTTTAAGTCATCACTTCATATGTTTGTCGGCCAGCAGGTACTTACCTGTGTTAAAATTTCCAAACTTGTAAGTAAGTTTATATTACAATATTAAAAAGTCACTTTCCATTGTTTGTTGACATTGAAGGAAGCACCTGGAGTTTCTTGTTTAGGTGGCTCATCTTCTTATTTATTTCTTTTTTGAGGGTACAGACACTTTTATTAATTGCATAATAAGGCTTTCAGGGGACAGTAGGACAGGTTTCTCAAGCTTGTCCGAAGTGGCTTGAGAGCAGGGGAGGATACTGGTTTGCAGGTTTTTATTTTGGTTATGGCAGGGGTGTCAAACTCATTTTCGTTGGGGGCCACATCAGCCTTGAAGTTGCCTTCGAAGGGCCGAAATAATTTTAGGACCGTATACATGTAACTATTCCTTAACTGTTAAGGAGTTGAAATTTCATTCAGCCCTTGGAAGGCAACAGTGAGGTTGGTGTGGCGCCTGGTGAAAATGACTTTGACGGCCTTGAGTCATGGGGTGAGGTGTGGGGGAGCGAGTATTCCCATGTACTTGAGTATGTGAAGAGGCTTGTGTGGTTCTACCCTCCCACCAATATCAAGATAAGTGGCTTAGCAGTTTTTTTTTTTTAAACAGACATTTTATTTATTATTTCGGAGAGAGGGAAGGGAGGGAGAAAGAGAGGGAGAGAAACATCCATGTGTAGTTGCCTCTTGTGTGGCGCCCAACTCAGGACCTGGCCTGCAACCCAGGCATGTGCCCTGACTGGGACTTGAACTGGCAACCCTTTGGTTCGTAGGCTCAATCCACTGAATCACTCCAGCCAGGCTGGCATTTTTAATTGCTATTTTTCAGCCCAACTGGAGAAGTGAAGTCATTTGCTCTTGGCTAAACAGGAAGTGACTGTAACTGGAATGGACCTATTCTCATGTGTGCTTGATCCCAGACAAAACAGTCTCTTCATATCAAGTAGCTTGACCAACAAATCAATCTTTGTCCCTTCTTGGTGGGATTGCTCTTTTTAATAAAGAAGCTGCTGGCTTTAGGTTTTGTTTTTGTTTTTGTTTTTTTGACTTTGGCAGTGTTACGAACAAGAAGAATTCCTTTTCTGGACTTCTTCTTCCTTGTAGAATCATAGAATCTCAAGAGATTGGAAAGATAATGCAGTGCAGCTTTCCGCAAAGTGTGAGCGATTTCTCCAGCCCTCTGTGCAAGTCTCCCCCAGAGACGGACTCCGCAGCTGTGGCTAACAATTCCAGGTTTGCAAATTTGTCATTTTAGAAAGAATTCCCTGAGAATGACCTCAAACCTGCCTCCTTGTAGTTTTTATTCACTGGTTCTAATTTTGCTGTCTACAGTATTTTCCTATAGTTCCAGTCTCCACTTGATACCTACTCAGTCACAGTTATTCTGTACCACTGAAGATTTTTCTTTTTCAGACTAAATAGTTCTTTTCTTGCAGCCACCTCTTATGAAATGTCCTCTCTAGCCCTGGCCAACGTGGCACAGTTGGCTGGAGCATCATCCGGTACCAAAAGGTTGCGCATTCATTTCCCCACCAGGACACGTACCTAGGTTGTGGGTTTGGTCCCAGTCCTCCTGTGTACAGGAGGCAGCCAGATTGGTGCTTCTCTTTAGCATCAGTGTTTTTCTCTCTCCTGAAAGCTCTCTCTAAAAGCAGTGAACAAATGTCCTCTGGCGAGGATTAAAAAAAGAATAGAAGAAATGTTCTCTCTAAATCTTTACTGTGTTGGGCATCGTATGTAGACATGCTCCAGATTGTCAGATATGGTCTGATTCAGATACTGTATGAGGTCTTGGGAGTGGAGTGATTGAGGAATTCAGAAAGCTCTCTGCCCTTGGGGAGCCTAGCACTTGGTTTCTGTCAGTGCTGCTTTAGAATAAAATAAAATAGGTTCTTTTTTTCCCCCCCGATATCCAGTTTTCCGTGTTAGTTTATACTTGTCCTATACTAAGCTCTTTTTTTCTAGAACTGATATTAACCCAAGTTTTTGTCCGATTGTTTGGCTTTGTTTTTTTATTTCCATTTTTTGGTTGGCTTTCTCAAGCTGTGTGGTTGATTCTTTTACACTCCTGTTTTGTTGCTGTCCATTGTTCCCAAGGGGACTTTTGGAATTCTGATTCTCTTACCATATGCCTTTGTTAGCCTTCCTATGTCTATAATTCTTTCTATATTTTTACTTGATTGAGCCTATAAAATACTCTTCCTAGAGAGTGCCAAAGTCAGATCTTGGTAGTAAGCTATGAGAGACAAAACTTCAATGCTTTATTTTCTCCTTACTTCCGACTTGTATTAGATTTTGGTTTTGATTTGCTGCTATAGTTTGTGTGGGAAAATGATAATTAAAGTATTTTACATCTTACAACTCTGAAGGCACAGCTGACTCTTTCTAATGGTAGTTATTGATTATTGATTGAAGTTACATTATAGGATTCTTTATTGTGACCGAGTATAGGTTCTGACTTACAAATGATTCACATGTAAAATAGTTACAGGGAGACTGGGGGTAGGTAGATGGTGAGTGGGCGTGGAGAATGGAGACTTGGGGCTGGGGGGGGGAAGGTTGCTTTAAAAACAGGTGGCGTAGAGAATTCAAAGTTCCCTTTTAATTAGATAATATGGTTTCCTCAAAGAATGGATTCTCAATGTAATAGATTGCCCATTTCGTATAGTGGTGAATAATATGTGTAGGTTCTGGGGTCTCTGAAAATTTCTATAGTTGTTGTGAAAAATTCAGTGCCATGAGCAACCAAGGTAGCTGTGGTGGCAGGCTGCATGGTTCCTGCATTTTGCTGTGCATAATGTACACCTTTTTGAGGGAAAATTAAGGATGTGCATTAAACATGGCAAAATGCGGCATGTGGTTGAGGAAATCGTGAGTAATTACACCTCTTCTGATCCATTTCAGCACTAGTAGAGAAGTGCAGGGGTGTGCGATGTACCTGTGGCAGTCAGTTTGTCCTGTTTGGCTCTAAGATGTGGTCTGGTAGTGTCCGTGCATAACTTCGCCTGCTCGTAGGGCGACATTGTAGCATCACTTGAAATTCATTTTCCCAAACTGCCCACAGTTGCATTGCCCTAGTGAATTTGATTTCCTAATAGTCATTCGTGTGTCCCTCGTTCTTTTTGTTTTTTAAAGTCCTCACCTGAGGATATGTTTATTGAATTTTGTTTTAGAGAGAGAAGGAGGTGGCGGGGGCCAGAGAGAGAGAGGTCTATCATATGCGCCCCAACTGGGGGTGGAACCCGCAACCTTTTGGGGTGTGGATGACGTTCCAACCAACTGAGCCGTCCAGCCAGGGCCCTCGTTCTTTTTTAAAAAAGACTTTTTCAAAAAATTTCAGACGCATCCCAGAAGGTGAGATTAGTATATGAAATTGAACCCCTAAGTAACCCACCCATGACCAGTTTTGATTCCTCCATATTCCCACCTGCTCCCCTACCATTCTTTTATGGATTATTTTTTTTTAGCAAATCCTAGATATGAGCTCATCTGTAAATATTTTAGGATGTATCTTAAAAGATACTACTTATCTTTTAAAATATAAATCACAATTTCTACAGAGAACCTCAAAATTTGACAAAAATACTGAATTAATATTTAGGTTTTCCTTACTGCCATAATTTATTTTTGCAACTGGTCAGTTTGAACAGAATTCAAACAAAGTATTTATTTGGTATTATTCTCTTAAATCCCCTCTAACAGAATTTCCCTTCCCCCGCCTTATAATTTGTATATTGAAAAAACTGGGTCCTTTATCCTCTAGAAGTTTCCATGTGATGGATTTTGCTGTTTGCATCTTGATGATGGTATTTAACATGTTTCTCGATCCTCCATATATTTCTTGTAAACTTTTAGTTATAGCTAGACATTTGACTGTTGTTTTTTTTTGGGGGGGGGAGGCAGGATGCCTACTTCATTCTTAATTTCCATTCTAACAAAATCATTAAATGTTCTGGAGTTCCCGGGGGAACATTTATGTAAACTTACGAGTGATGATAGGTAAAACTGTTTCGTGGTGTTGCTGTCAAGCTATTACAGCCTTTTGGGCCTGGAGGAGACTGCACTCTCCTTCTGACTTGTGTTAGATCATGGTTGTGATAGACCTGTGTCAGACTTTCGTTGGCAAGGTATGTGTGGAGAAAATGCCCCACCTCTTGCTGGCAGTCTGTGGTAGGTAGGTTGGGGGAATAGGGAGGCAGATGAGCCAGTCCAGCTCCTCCGAGAGTGCTGATCTGTATGGGGGCCATCTCCGGATGAGTAAACGTGGGGCTAGATGTCCTTCCTGCGGGCACTGTCCCTCTTGGGGGCATGCCCAGGCCTTTCTTTTCTCTCAGGCGGTCATCTGCAGAACTCTTAAGTGTCCTCATGAGACTTGCAATCAGGGAAGCAGTGGGCAGCCACATCTTGTCCCAGGCTAACCTCCTGAACCTGTCCCCAAGGCCCCCCTTTCTCTGACTCCCCCGTCTAGGTTTGCTCTCGCCTGTTGCTGCTGTCCTGAGCCCTTCCTTGTTTCACTGTTAAAGCTTTAGTAAACATACTCTCAAAAGGGTAAAAGTAACAAAAAAAGAAATCCTTCATGTGTTTTCCTTTAAGACCACACATCTTTTTTCTAAATAATCTTTTATTATAAAAAAGTACTTGTTCATTGAGGGAAATGGGAAATTTGGAAAATACAGAAAAAGTATCAAGGCAGGAGTAATCATTTGAAAACTATATCTCTCAGAGATAACCATTTTAGCAATTGGGCATATTCCTTTACAGCCTTTTTCTTCCATGAGTATACATTTTTTCTGAGATGTTCTCGTAATTTTCTCTATTGCTTTTTTAAAAAAATTTAAGTATTTAAAAACTTTAAAAAAATTTATATTTAGAGAGAAGGAAAGGCCAGGGAGAAAGGGAGGGAGAGAAACGTTGATATGTGAGATATTTGATAGGTTACCTCTTGCATGCCCTCAACCGAGGACCTGGCCTGCAACCCAGGCATGAGCCCTGACTGGGAATCGAACCGACCACCTTTTCGTTCACAGGCTGGCACTCAATCCAGAGACACACCAGCCAGGGCCTGCTTTTTAAAACTTAAGGTAGCATATAGTATGATTTCTTGCTATTGAAATCTATTTGTAAGGATAATCTTTAATGGCTGTGTGACTTCACAGCATGCAGGTAGTGATTTAGGGTTTCCTTATTACTGCATATAGACATTTAAAAAATTTGTTATTTTTATTCATAAGGCTCTGCTTATATTTTAGATTTTTATTAATGTTCTCTTTTTTAAATGACAAGTTTATCGAGATATAATTCATATCCTGTAAAATTCACCCTTCATCAGTGGTTTTTGGTATACTTAAAAAGTTGTTCATCATCGCTGCTATTTGATTTTTGGATATTTCATCACTCCAAAGGAAACTTCATACCCATTGGCAGTCATTTCCTGCCTGCTTTCCTCCAGCCCCTTGGCAACCACTAAACTACTTCCTGTCTCAGTGGACTTGCCTATTCTGGACGTGTAATATAAATGCCGCTGTACAATAGGTGGCCCTTTGTGTCTCATGTCTTCACTTAGCCTGGCAATTTCAAGGTTCACATCGCAGCACATGTCAATGCATCTTCATTCCTTTTCATTGGCAACTAATATTCCTTTGTGCAGATATGCTGCAGTCCAGTTCATTCATACTTTGGTGGGCATTTGAGTTGTGTCTGTTTCTTAGCTATTATGTATAACAATTCTGTGAGTATTTGTGTACAAGTTTTTGTGTGGGTGTGTGTTTTCGTATCTCTTGGTTATATACTTAGGAGTAGAATTATTGGGTCATATGGTAATTCTGTGTTTGATTCTTGAGTAACTGCCAGACCAAAACTGTTTCCCAAAATGACTGCATCCTTCGACTTTTTACCAATAATATATGATAGATTCTTTTTTTAAATCCTCACTTAAGGATAATGTTTATTGATTTTTAGAGAGAGAGGAAGGGGTGGTAATGAGAGAGAGAAAGAGAGAAAGAGAAACATGGATGTGAGAGAGAAACATTGTTTGGTTTCCTCCTGTACATGCCCCGACTGGGATTTGAACCTACAGCCTAGGTATGTGCCCTGACCGTTAATCAAACCTGCAGCCTTTTGCTGTAAGTGATGATGCTGTAACCAACTGAGCTGAGCTATCCAGCCAGGGCTTATGATAGATTCTTAAATGTATATTTTATTACTGAGTCAGAAGATGGTAAATTTAAGGCTTT